AGGCTCGACGCCTTTCTCCTGAAAAATTTGCAGCTGCAAAAACCGAGTTAGACCAGATGTTGTCTTCTCACACGGTTTGCAAATCATCAAGTAACTGGGCATCCCCACTTCATATGGTCCCAAAGTCGAACGGTGACTGGCGCCCCTGTCGTAACTATCGAGCTCTCAATGCAGCCACTAAACCATACCGTTACCCTGTGCCTCACGTTCAGGATTATTCTGCTCGTCCTGCTGGTTGCAAAATCTTCTCCAAGATTGACCTGGTTCGTGCATACCATCAAATTCCTGTTGCTCCTGAGGATGTCTCTAAAACAGCAGTCGTTACACCGCTCGGCGTTTTTGAGTTCAAACGTTCGCCATATGGACTGCGCAATGCGGCCCAGACATTCCAACGATTCATCGATGAAGTCTACCGTGACCTGGACTTTGTGTTTGTATTCATTGACGACATCCTGGTTTTCAGCACCACGCCTGATCAACATCGCCACCATCTGCGCCAGCTTTTTCAGCGACTGGAGCATTACGGCTTAGTCATTAATCCTAAGAAGTGTGAGCTTTGCCGTTCACAGTTATCATTCTTAGGATTTCCTCAACCTGTTGACAAGAAGGATTTCCTCAACTTGTTGACAAGAAGAAGTTACGCGATTTCCTCGGTATGGTCAATTTTTACCATCGCTTCATCCCTCATTGTGCTGGCAGGCTACATCCCTTGCACAAACTATTATCCTCTACCGATTTTATTTGGTCTCCAGAATGTGAGGAAGCATTCCAGTTCTGTAAATCCGCCCTAGCTAGTGCAACACTGTTGGTTCATCCGCATTATAATGCACCAACCAGTATAACATCTGATGCCTCAGATCTAGCTGTGGGAGCCGTCAAAACCCCATCGGTTTCTTTTCTCACAAGCTACAGCCGTCAGAAACACGTTACAGTACGTTTGAACGAGAATTGCTAGGCGTTTACTTAGCCATTCGTCATTTTCAGTGGTTTATCGAAGGTCGTGTGTTCCATGTGTACACTGATCACAAACCCTTGACTTTTGCAATCTCAAGTGGGTCAAGCCAACGCTCTCCACGGCAAATCCGGCAGTTGGCTTTTATTTCTGAGTTTACCACCGACCTGCGACACGTCAAGTCTAAGAATAACGCAGTAGCGGACGCGTTTTCCAGAATCCAAATCAATGCCACCTCCTATACCCAAATTGGCTTTCTGGCAATAGCTCAAGCACAAGCTGATGATTATGAGATCCAGTGCCTGAAAGCTGGGGTAACAAATTTAAAGTTAGTGGATGTTCTCCTTGATGGTGATGACAACATTACACTTCTCTGCGACTCGTCTCAGGGTAATATTCGACTAGTAGTCCCAGAGTCTTTTTGTCGCGAGATATTCAACCTGATCCATAATCTTTCCCATCCAGACGCTAGATCGACCTGTAAGCTCGTCAGCGCCCGGTGCATGTGGAACGGTCTCAATCGTGGTGTTCGTCGGTGGATTCGAACTCGCAATGGTTGCCAGCAATCTAAAATTCATCGTCATACTACAGCGCCGCTCCAGAAGTTCGATATCCCAGACCATAGTTTCGCTGAGACTCATGTTGACATTGTCGGCCCACTTCCGCTGTCTCGAGGGTTCAGTTATCTGTTCACATGCATTAATCGCTACACCCGGTGGACTGAGGCTATTCCGATGGTCGACATGACGGCGGGAAGCTGTGCACGTGGTCTGTTACATGGTTGGATATTACGGTTTGGCCTGCACAGGAGCATTATGTCGGATCGTGGCCGGCGATTTGAATCCAACCTCTGGGCATCTCTCATGCTTCTTCTCGGGATTAAGCGTAACCGTACAACGGCCTACCACCCACAATCTAATGGTATTGTTGAGCGCTTCCATCGGCAACTCAAGACATCCGTGAAAGCTCTGCTAAATGGCCCAAATTGGTGAGACGAATTACCTATTGTGATGCTTGGAATCCGGACCACCCTCAAATAAAATCTTGAATGCAGTCCAGCGGAGTTAGTCTATGGAACCACTCTTCACTTCCCCGGGGAATTTTTCAATCCTTCCCACAACGAGGCCGTCGATCCTTCCTCATTCCTTGGCCGACTTCGGGATACAATGCACCAGCAACGTCCTGTTCCCCCACAAAACCACGGTTTGCGTCCATCTTATGTACCACGCATTACATCAAGCTACACACGTTTACGTTAGGCACGATGAAGTCAAAAGTCCGTTGCAACGACCCTACGACGGCCCATTCCTTGTCATCCAACGCAATGACAAGTTCTTTACCCTCAACAAGAATGGGTGTCGTGATACAGTCTCTATCGACAGGTTCAAGCCAGCATTCCTTGAGAAAATGGACGACCCTCCGCTCAACCCAACAACACATCCTATGACACCTGTTCCTCCCGATACAATTGAACCACCCTTGCCAATGGTACTGCCAACACCATCGTTAACGACACGTTCTGGTCGTACGGTACACTTACCAAGACGTTACCGCACTGGGGAGGGGGGAGCCTTGTAGGGACAAAATATAACCTGGTCAGCGGCTTGGTCAGACAGCACTAATTTATGATCAACTTCATGTTAGAACGATATTAAGTCTCTCGATCAAACGAAAAATATTTGTAGAAAGTAAACAAAGTGTGTTGATAAAATAAAGATATCTTATACTATGTACAGTGTGAATTCTACAACTTTAATAACAATAAAGTGATATGGTTAATCTAGGCTGGGCTAGCTCGATATAAACAGAACAAAAGTACTGTAGGCTGTCAGTCTGTCTTAGAGTGAAAGACATGTTCCAGAAGTTTTTATTTATAAAGCCCAATGTCCCACAGCAAAATTTTTATTATCATACAAGAAAATGGAACGAATGATGTGCAGATTTATTAAATAGATGAGCTAATTTTATTGAGGTCAACTGCTACTAATGTGCAATCATTGGTATATTTGTTTGAATTATCTAGGTGACTAGGTCTAACATTTTATACTAAACAACAAATCGGGTCTAACATTTATTAAACAACAAATATATTGTGCTCCTTATTCATTGTTGACAAAAATTTCAAAGAAAAATTGCCTATTCATATTGTAAGGTATGTACATAATTTCAGTGATAAATAAAATATTAAACAACTTTACCTGTTTACAATGCGCCAATGGCAAGTGAGCCCAGTCTTCTATATGAATATAGTGACAGTCTTTGCAATTTCACATCATGATAAGCCAAATTCGTACTCAGCGTATAAATTTATAGTGAATTCGTACTCAGCGTATAAAAATATATAGATTCATTTAAGTTAAAAGCAGTTCCCGAATGGGGGGGGGGCAACGAAACTCGTTTTCTAAGCGGGGTCACAGAATACGGCCTATACGGTATTGTGTGATTTGCGCAGAACGGTCTTCGTTTTAGGATGATTATACATGCAGTTTCATTTTCTTTCATATTTATGCAAACTAGTTGACATGCATCATTACATGCCACTGCCAGTGAGGGTAATAATTGTCCGGCCCAAACCTAATTGTAATTATTAACTTTTATAATTATATAGCGAAACGTGTGAAATAATTTTGAATTGATGCATACATGACTACAATTTCAAATTTCTTTATCAACTAATGTCCATGCAATGCTTTTTAACGTACGCCATAACTTTTTCATGGTTTATACGCGAATTAATTAATAATTAATTAAATTTCTAATAAATTTCTAAAAATTCTAATGTAATTAATTAAGTTTCTGTTTTTCTTTTTTATTTTCTGTTGTGTATAGATGACAGCAAAACGTTGGAGCTTTATCTTCATTCTATTGCAGTGCTCGTTCTTGTTTTACTTGTGATTTAATCTTGCAACTATTTCTTTGTGTTGTTGCTTCGTCTGCAAGAAAAAGAAGTCTGAAGCTGCTGGCAAACCTTAATTATTCACTATTTATGTTAGCACGGCATATATAGCCTATGTCATAAGTTAAAGTAATATGTATGAACTCCGTTTTTCAAGACGGTATGGAATGCGGGATAATTATCTTTTTAAATGTTGAAGTAAGTCACTATACTAGACATATAGAGTAAACAGTTACTGCCATTAAGGGAACTGTAATGCAATTTGCCCGTTTTATATATAACCGCACAATCAGTCAATTTATTTGCACAATTTTGTATGAAAGCCATGCAGTATAGTCACCCATAAAGTTTGCATTTTGTATTTAATCTATATTATGCCTGGCATTATTCGGCACTCCCAATGGTTTTCCCATGCATAGAGTGACCATTATAAATTTACTTAATAGTTCATTTATACGCTGTAAGTTCGGTAAGTGTGCTGACCTCAAATCGTTAGATACATTTGGATACAGGCATTGGTTTCACGCAAAGCGGGACATATATAATGATACATTTATGTGCCTATAACCCCATGCATGAAATCATAATATTGCTATTCAGTGAAGTATGTATAGCAAATTCTTGGCGTTTGTAACGTCCGCGTATTTTCCCAACTCTAACCCAACTTTGCATTACTATTTTCTGCATGTTTTCTCTGACTAAAATATTGCTTTTATTGTTCTTTGATGAAAATTGGAATTTAAATCGCAAATGCCCATAATCGTACGAAGGACCGGAAATTACTGTTGACTTATCTGTGAAAACATGCTCTAATCACGCATGCCTTTGTTGTTGGTTAAAAGCCCTCATTTCTCGGTACATAGTTTGAAAATAAACAGGTGGGAAATTTATCTGAGCACGCGCAAGCAAAATGAGCCGCTCAATGGCGTGCATGGAATAACGTTTGCAAAAAGGCGCAAAATAAATTATTGTTTGTTACCACGATTTAAGTCACACAAAAATACAATTATTTATTCACACATACCTACATATTTACATGACTAACTGCACACTAATGATTGTGGGATGTTCATGAGTTCTCCAATGCGCATGCTCTTTGTAACATCTTCCCTCCTATTTTTGACAATGACAAAAATCCTTCACTAAATTTAAATCATTTTCTCATGCAATTTCTAATGGGCACAACCGTGTTATTGGTCGTACATACTGTTTTTGTCCAATTTTAATTCGCGCAGTGCGAACATGTTTATCTGGTCCAATGAAGACTTCTACACGGTCAAGAGGCCAAGTTCCCCGAGGGAGATTTGGATCAATACAAATAACAATGTTTCCAACTTCAATATCCTTCTTTTCTTCTGTTCACTTTTTTCGTGAGTTCACAGCAGGTAGAAACTCTCGAAGCCATCTGCGCCAAAATCCTTTTATGATTTGTTGAATTCTTAACCATCGTCGTCGTGGGTGAACGTCCAGTTCGTCTACTTCGGGTGCCATTTGTCCACCAAGCTGACCATAAAGGAAATGATTCGGGGTTAGTACAGGATCATCCTTCGGCGCTGCACTCTGGTATGTAAAGGGCCGGGAATTCATTAAACCTTCAACTCTAACAATCGTAGTAAGTAACTCCTCATCAGTAATTTCTGCATTTCCAATTACAGCTTTCATGGCTCGTTTCGCACTTTTTATAAGGGCTTCGAAGAAACCGCCGAAGTGGCTTGCACCTGGAGGGTTGAATCGCCATTTAATGCGTTGATTAGTCATAGATTTCTTGATTTCATTCTTATCCATCACCTTGAATAATTCTCGTAATTCACGTTCCGCTGCTACACAGTTCGTGCCATTATCTGATATCACCTCCAAGGGCAATCCGCGACGACTGGTCATTCGGGAAAACGCCGACAAGAAGGAATTGGCATCTAGACTCCAAGCCATTTCCAAGTGCACGGCGCGAGTAGCACAACACGTGAAGAGAAATAAATATCGTTTTGTTCTAGATTTTCCTCTGCCTTGCTTCGTCAAAAACGATCCAGCGTAATCGACACCACACCTAGCAAATGCTCTCATGGGTAGTCCTATTCTTGACTTGGGTAGCGGCGCCATGATTTGTGTCGCTGCTTTGGCTCGATTCCTTTTGCATGTGTTGCATTCTGACTGATAGGACTTGATTGCTTCTCGCCCGTGTACGATCCAAAACCGTGTTCGAATGTCACCAAGGACGTGATTCACACCATTTTCATGATTTCCCATTTCATGATATTTACCAACGATGAGTTTTGTTATGTAAGCCCGTCTCGGTAGAATAATGGGGTTTCTTGTTTCATAAGGCAATTGTTCTGCCCATTGTAG